ACCCTGACCTTGCTTTAAGTTATGATAAGAGGAAGCTGCATACCAAATTTGGTGGTCCTGGCTTTACTATTTACATGGACTCACAGATGAACGGCAGACAGACAGATGCACATTTCTAAAATATATTATATGATCAGTGAAGACAATCTTTCTGGTAGCAATCAGTTCTGCCCAGAAAGCTGGAGTATTGGAGGCCTGTTTATAGTATTCACCCAAGAAAAAAACATCACTATGGGCCCTTCCAAGATTTTTTAACTAAGGTACAGTAGTCTCAGAATTTCATATTAATCAAACCATTCATCTCCCATTTCTCAACCCCCCCCCCAAGTAATCCCATATAGGACTAGTCAAGGAGTCATATTCCATACCCTAACTGTAAGGAGGGCATTAGCCTTTTACATGACAAAATTATTTAAAAAATCAATGTGACCAGTTGTATTCAGACAGAACAAGGGTTTGGTATTTTAAAAACAGAGGTTATCAAAGCAGATCACCAGATATACTAACATCTGTTACAACAGATCTCATGTGTAACCCTCTTTGAGGGCGATAGCACATTCCATAATATCATAATACCCTTGCTTAAGGATGTACAAATTCCAGATATCTGTAGAGCAGCAACTTCCTTTTTTTTTCTAATTGTTATGCTTTGGAGCCTCCAGTAAGACCAAATGCTGTTGTAAGCAGTGCAGTTCTGTTTTCTCTGTTGGACTCTGTTCTGAACTGCCTGCCTCCTTAGGGAAGTACTGCTCAGGAGTCACTGGAAGGGGAGCATCTACAGGAACACTATTTGAAGGAGGAGAGTTTGTGCAGTAACTGGAGTTCTTCTAGGCATGTGTCCCTGTGGATGCCCCATCCCTGCCTTTGGGTATGTCTACACTACAATGTTAGTTCGAACTAACGGACGTTAGTTCGAACTAACATTCATAGCCGCTACACTAGCGCTCCGCTAGTTCGAATTTGAATCGAACTAGCGGAGCGCTTAGTTCGAACTAGGAAAGCCTCATTTTACGAGGATTAAGCCTAGTTCGAACTAGCTAGTTCGAATTAAGGGGTGTGTAGCCCCTTAATTCGAACTAGTGGGAGGCTA